GTCTTCCTGTGTGAAGCGCCAGGCCCATTTCACACCATGTAACGATGATGATGATGTATGTTCAGGGCTGCATTGCAACATTGATTGTTCGGATCGCTGGTATCTAAGTCTTCCGTTGTGCTATCTTATACTTTGTATTGAAAGGTCAGTTCTTGTTCTGGTCTGCACGTTACAGTATGCAACACTCAACCTCGCTGTCATCTTCACCCAGAGCTACACGTGGCATGCAATGTGAACTAGTGTCCTCGCTGGGACCTACCACAGCATGGCACCCAACCGCTTAATAAATAAAATTAAATATACGGTCCAGATATTTCAGGAAGCAGTCCAGTGATAACAGCAGATAGTTTCAGACCCCTGCAAACAATTCTACTCCTTATGACTAGTCTGAAACAGATGCTCGCAGCAAGAATAAACAACTAGTCTATCTGCAACTGTCTGTTAGCTGTTAGCAGTCCGTCACAGCTACCTAATCGAAAATAAAAATAAAATCATTTGCTGAAATGCATGCTGAATGGAGATATTACAATATTGAACAATCGAGCAATTACTGGAATCTTCCCGCCCCCTATATCCCTCTTGAGCAGTCACTTTGTGTCGACGTCCTGTAGCTCTGGTTCAGCAGCGTGTCTAAAGGTGTGCAATTGGCTCACCCCTGTGCCCCAAGTCGGTATAAGACTGGCCACCCCCCGTCCATACTATTTTTATACTGGTGTACAGCACGAGTCGTATATCCCCGCCGGAGTCTTTTTATAGATGGTCCGGTACTCGTCTCTCCCTCATAGGGATGGCCTTCCCAACCTGACCTCTACAGCGCAGCAAGCAGACCAAAGGACTAGCGGCAAAGCATGCTTGTACTTATCCCAGCGGGTTGGCATGGTGACCGTGACTGAGTGCTTCCTCCAGGGCCCTTCGGAGGCAACGCCCGTCTCCCACCAGCTTGTACCTAGGAAGAATGTCGACTGTCAAGGTTGAGCGCTCGCGACACCTCACAATGAGAGGACTCTCAAGACAAGACTCACCTCCTCACGGTAACAAACAACGAAGAGGTAGATAAGGTAAGGAGCAACGTACCTCATAATGCTGCCCCCAACCACAGAGTTCTCCCCAGTACCCTGACGTGCATTTATGATGACCGGTCGATGCCTCGGCACAACCCACAATACAATGCAGTTCTACCTCGGCTTAAATGCCATGTGAGTAGGCTCTCATCATCCAGAGTGCACCCCCTATGTCACCACATAGCCTTCCAGGCGCCCCCTGTCGACTCAGGGCCGCCTATACACCCAACCCACAAGCGTTATCAACTTATCACTGCTCCACCATTATCCTGCGAAGCACCAAACAGCTATTGCGAAGGAGCAAGCGGCGCGGATCGAACCAGCTCCGATACCAAATTGCAAGGAAATGAACGATAGCGAAATGACAGAATCCAGACTGCAAAATCACATTGAAAGCCGGCAAGTCCAACACTGTCCAGAGAACAAAAATGCACTGATATTCCACCAACGGAGAACCAAAGCACTGACGCCGAATGTCAATGAGAGCATACTCTCGCCACCACCAACATATGTATCCAGAGTCCTTCCTCCTACTTGGTGCTCAGCGCCCAGACGACGATCACACAGCTACTAGCAGCCTACGAATTGAGAATGCATCCTGTTGATGTCAGCAGCAACAACCGAAGTACACGAAGATGTCGACCTTGTAGACCATCTCGAAGACCAGGTACGTGCCCTCACATCATCAACCTCATATCTCTCTCTCTCTCACCCTTGACTTAGTCACCCACGTCTTCCTCCCCATACACGAAGACCATCACCACCTCCACTGGCTATCCAAGCCAAGCCCTGGCTATGTAGGGCTGGCTATGGCGCTGCCCTCAGCAGTGCCCTGTCTTCTTCCTCGACGCCCGCGCGCGCCCAGCATCTGCTAGCGCACAGCAAGTGGCCCGCGAGCGCACGCTCCAGCAGTGCTGCCACTTGCACAAGCCAGTGCCCGAATGTCCCCACCAGTGGCGAGCTCTTTCCTTTATGGAAAGTGCTCGCCCAGTTTGCTGTCTGGCTGGGCCTCGTCTGTTTCCAGTAGCTTCCGTTTGGGCCAAAGTGTCTGCGCCCAGGCCCATTCAGACAGTGGCCTGGGACCGAGTTGGTTAGGCCTGCCCAACCACCCAGGAGTAAACATTAGGTTCTCCCTGCTTCGCCTGTGCTGCTGGAAGAGCCTAGAAGGCTCACAAATTATTTCTGATTCTCACGAGTAAGGAGGATGCAACTGTCTGGCGCGTGGCAACTGTCTGGCGCCCACCAAACTTTTGCCAAAATTGACGAACGCAGGCCGTATTGAAATTCAGGGGCCCACCTTCACTTAGGGCGGGCGCGGCCTTTTCAGACACTGCCGAGGGACTAAATCCTCCCAAAGCTCTCTCTTTTTTTTTTTGACCTCAGATCCAGTGCAGAGCTCTGACATAGACAACAAGCTATGGTCTGGTCAGGCAACGGAAGCAATCATTCAAGATGGAACACTGAGGTAAACACCATGCAGCCTCCAAGATGCTGCATTATCTTCTTGGAGTGGATGCCACAGCTGTCACGGCTGGGAGCTCCAAGAAGATAATTGCAGCATCTTGGAGGCTGGATGGTGCCCCATTCACACCTACATCAGGACGCTGCATAGTTGTTCAACAGCAAAGACTGGCTGGGCCATCCCATTGTGTTAGATAATTGCATTCCCTAGGTAGCAAAGAGATTGGGTGGCGCGTGGAGACGCATGCGCGGCGATGATGCGCCCGATGGCTCTGGTTGCCGGGGATCGGCCCAACTGAACGCAGAACAAACCGACACGCGGCACTTGCGGAGCTGGAGAGAGAAGCAACGACAATTATGAGTCCAAAGAGAAAATTTTGGAACTTACCTGACTTGGAAAATTGCCACTCCAAAAAATGTGATTTGAGACTTTAGGAAATGACCAAAATGAGATCAGCGATTCAGCATCAATTGGTCTTTTATCAAATTATCAGTCAATCAATCAGTCAATCAATCAATCGGTCTATCAATCCACCGATCCATCCATCCATCCATCCATCCCTCCATCCGTCATCCGTCCATCCGTCCATCTGTCCCTCTGTCCCTCTGTTCGTCTGTCCCTGTGTCTCTCCGTCCCTCCGTCCGTCCAACCAAGATACCATTAGTGCAATTGTTACACTGTTCGTGAGAGGGGAGGCATAGTCTTTCATATTTGTGTTGTGCTTGTGAACTTAGATACGCTTGGTTGTTGGAATTTGCAGATCGTATTCAAGCAACCAATCCGAGTGCATCTCCATCAGGGAATATGTCCATGCTGGTAAAAAAGGTTCGTCTGCTCGCCCTACTGTCAAACCCCAGTTGTTTCTAAAGGACTGACATAATGACCTTTGCTAGTTTCCTAATGATTTGCAGGCTCGCAGTTAAAAAAGAGACATAAAGACCTGCAGCTGATCCAAGGAGATAGATTGCCCTTGTCCGTGTGCTTCACAATTATTTAGGGGTGTTTTGTCCTCCTTTTGTTCTTTCCTCTCATATGTGTAGACTGCACAACATGAATCTCACCCCGTCTTTTTCTTCTTTCATATCTAAATGGCACACTGCTCTACATGAACCGCCATGCGTTTTCGGACTGTGTTTTGTTCTGTGTGAGAGTCCAACTGGGCTTGATCCCTAGGTCTGTTTGGAGTAGTCTCTGTAGGCTAGCTGTAATACCACTAGGTCTCTCAGTTTTGTCCTTTCTGCTTTTGAGTTGTAGGTCGTTTCTGTCCTCCCCTTTTGCCAATGTTAGGTCTAGATTCGGTCCTAGGCTATAGGCTGTCGAGTCAGGGAAAACAGCAGTCTACAAAAGTGTCGAGGGCAAGGAAAAACGGGTTCTGTCTCGTCATTTTTTTCCACGCTGCTGGAGGTCACGTGCTGTTTGGGTGCTGCGTTATTTCACTTGCCGCATCATCTTCATGCTGCTATGGCTGTCCTCCATAGCTGGGGCTTCCTGACCCGTGTTGTGACTGTGCTGGGCATCAGGCCCTGAGCGCTGGCGCCTCCTCTTACCTGTGCTGTTGGGGGATAGGCAGGGTCGCCATCGAAACCCTTCTTGCAAGTGTTTGTTGAATTGGCATCAATCTCCTTCTTCATCAAGCGCTGGTGCTCTTCTTCTTCGTCCTGGGAGCTACCCTGCCCTGTTGACCGAACACTTCATCTGCAGTGGGCATCGAGTTTGGACTGCTGAGTGGTGTGTCGGGTTCAGGAGGGTTGGTGGCGCTTGATGGGATTGATAGGTTGGGCGCAGGCCTGCGCCATAGCTGTGAGCTTGAGTTTGGGAGGAGGAAGAAGTCTCCCTTACTCGTTGAAACTCTCTTCTTTGTTGGTTCATGGATGTTAATAACGTGGTCGAGATTCTTGGAAATAACAGTGCATTGATTGGTTGGAGGAAGCGGGATATTAATGAGAATTGAGCATACTTGTGGCGCACTTCTGCGGTGCGCGTGTGCAAATTGGTGATGCGGTGATTTTTTTATTTTTTTATTTTTTTTGTTTTAGCGTTGTGTGTGTACGCACACACACACACACACACACACACACACACACACACACACACACACACACACACACACACAGAGCGAGCGAGCGAGCGAGAGAGAGAGAGAGAGAGAGAGAGAGAACAGAGGATCCCCTTCACACGTATCAGAGGGCCCATGCCGGTAATCTGAGGGGTCCTCACAGCAATCTAGCAAGGACCCTCCACCAAAATCGAGGCAGGCAGTGAATACAAAGTGAAGCACGAGCTGGCTGAATATATACTCAGGATTCGTATTCACGTCTGTGTTTCAGCAGTTATGGGTTGCTCACTTCGCTAGGCCCTGTTGGTCTCTGCACGTGATTCTCAGGGCTTGGCTGCAGTACAAACCAAATGTGCAGAAATAGAATGAATTTTCTACTAGAAAGTGGAATAATACGCCGCCATATGTTTTGTCTTTTGTGCATGTGGTGAGTAGAGGCCCTTAGGGCCACTGCGAATGTGCAGAATTAGAATGAATCTCTTCTGCTAGAACGTGGAATAATACGCCGCCGTATGTTTTGTCTTTCGTGCATGTGGTGAGTACAGGCCCTTAGGGGCACTGCACGTATTCCTAAGAAAAAAAAAACAAGAAAACAAAAGAAAAATGAGAAAACAGAGAATTAGTGACCCATAACTGTGATGCACAGACCTGAATTCGAATCCAGACTATATATTCTCGGCCCACGCAGACAAACCAGAAGTCTAATGTCCATCTCTGCTCCACGAGGGGTCCTTGCTAATTCGTAGGGGGCCTTCGGAAATGAGACTGGACACAATTAGGACATGCACATCCACATGCACACACGTGTGCTCACAGTGTTGGGGTATGGGGTGGCCCCAACTTTTTTCCCTCTTGCAGTTTGATTTTCGGAAGCGACGGGCTTGTTTGGACACCCCACCCTGTCCTTTCAATTTTTTTTTTTTTTTTTTTTTGGTGATGCGCCACATCATGTGCGCGCATGTGCATGAGCGTGCGCTCTGCACCGCATGTGCCGCGACCCCGCGCACAGGATGCGCCGCAAGTTTGGAATTGAGTAATTTGAATTCTATTTTTGGTTTAAGTGCTTCCATTGTGTATTCTCTCATCCGGTGTGGTGTGAATTGCTCTGTCCAAGATCTCTTGTCGTTGCGCATGTGTATGGGAACACGTGGATGCCATGCTATATCTCGCTTCAATCAGGCACATAACACTTCGAACGTGCGTTCAATCTGTTGAATTACTGAATGGAGGCTCGTTCAAAGAACGCGCAGTTTCAAGGACGACGACCTCCTCCTCCAGCAGGCCACAGCACTGCCTGCTGGCCCTCTTCTCGATGGGGCTACATGCTGTGCTGCTGAACGGGACTTAATGTGCTGGATGTTACAGCGGTGGTGGGTGGTGGCCAGCAAGCAACAGCAAGACGGGAGCACTCAAAAAACGAATCCTGCTACTACCTCCTGATTACCCTCCCCCGCTGAGTGTGCCACGAGACGTTTGGCCTATCCGCTTTGGCCTCCGAAGGCCCAAAAATGGCCCAGACATTTTGTGAGGGCATCGAGGATCCGGAAAACGACCTGGGCGCCCCCTATTTGTTATTAGAATGTTCACTGGGGGGGGGGGCATCCCGACGTACCAGAGCAGATCCTGGACCCGGACGTCCAGACCTAGACTGTCTGGATGGGCATCGAGACGTCCGGTTGGCAACCATGCGAATTACTATGGGAAGTTTGTTCGAAACTTTACTTCCATTGCAGCACCTCTATGCAAAATATTGAACAAAGAGGCTGTTGTGAGGATTGAGCCCTCAAAGGGGCGCCGTGATGTACATGTTCTGGGCTAAGGCCCCCAGCAAGCCTCATGCCCGCCCTAAGTGAAGGCGGGCCAGCAAATCAGCGAGAGCCCTTTGTTCAAACATTTCACGAAGTGGGGTCCATACAGTTGCCGCACGCCAGTTGGTTGGAGTGC